GTCGTAACAAAAGCGTGAATCAAAATTTCAAAATTTTGCCTTGAAAGGGAGGACTTTATTTTAGCAAGTTGCCTTAAATGGAAGAAACTGCACTTCACCACTGCACTTATTTGTTTATAAAATTTACAATCAGCATCCATTTTCACTCCCAAGATTTGAAACTAGGAGCTTAACAAATTGTGTTCGATGTCCCAGGTTCACGGAGCTACTGCTGCCATTGCTGGGCCCGACCAGCAGAACTTCACTCTTTTTTCATTGAAATGTAGAAAGTTTTCTGCCATCCACATTTTGATTTCAGATATGCTCTCCAGAAGTTGGGTGCTGCAAAAGTTATAGTTACGCTTAAGGGGCACATAGATTTGGGGCACGCCCCAAACCTCCAAAGCCTAATGGCAACAGATTGTTTATTTATTTATTTTTTCTTTATTTGAATTTAGGACAGTACATATTCATCAATGTGACTGCAAAAACCATCAACATAAATATGCTGGAATTAGCACAATAGCTAAATTGCATCCATTGTCCTAAGGCAAGTAAGAAACACACAAACACAGTTAGTAAAAGTACAAGCAATAAGTCGACAAGCGAGACATAAAGAATTAAAAAGAGGAGAGAAAGAGCAAGAGAAAGTCCAAGGAAGGGCAGATCATCTCTGGGAGCATGACTGGTTTGATTTCAACTAGTGCTGTCCAACGATTAAAATATTTAATCGCGATTAATCGCATGAATTTCATAGTTAACTCGCGATTAATCGCAAATTAGTCACACATTTGCATGCTGTGTGCAATTGCTTTTTTTATTGAAAACAATGTGTAGTGTTATATTACACACTAACATTTGATGCAAAATCATCAATAAATGAATGACAAAATAAATAATTGGTAACAAAAAGCCCCTTCAATGTGTGTGTGTGGGTGTGTGTGTGTATGTGTGGGTATAGACCATAGACTGTATAGAAACATCATGGTGTCATTATGATGATGATAAACAATCTGTAAATATTTTGTAAATTTGTTCATGTAAATACTCTATGCTGTTTCTCTGTTTACCTTCGGTATATCTATGACTGTATACTGTTTGCTTGTATTGCCTTTTTTATTAACCCCTCCCCCCATCTCCCACTTCATGTCCCCCCCCCCCCCCCCCCCCCCTCCTATGTGCCCTTCTGGGTTTCTTCTTTGGCCCCCTGTATCTCCATCTACATATTGTTTGTAATCTCTGTCTACAATGTATCTGAACTAGTCCTTTTCTTTGTTTCTATTTTTTTTCTGTATATGTGTTTGTCTGCAATAAAAAGTAAAAAAAAAAAAAAAAAATATATATATATATATATATTTTTTTTTTTTTTTTTATCGCGCGATAAAAAAAATGACGGCGTTAATATTGATTTGCGTTAACGCGTTAATAACGCGCTATTTTGGACAGCCCTAATTTCAACCAATGTTTGAGGACTCCTTTAAATGTTTGGTAGGTCCCACAGTTTCGAACGTGTTCCGGCAAAGTGTTCCATAATGTTGTTCCTCTGATGGACGCCACCATTTGGCTGAATTTAGTCCTGCGCCTTTGTATATTACAGTCTCCTCTGGTTAGTGCTCTGGTTCTGACTCCACGGTTGTTGTTTTTTTTTTACATGTAAAATCCATTAAGGGAGGAGGAGCAAGTCTATTTAATACTTTGAAAATAAGGCAAGCATCCAGAAACTTCTGATAACTCTCAAAATCTAAAATGTAATAGACGAGTTTTTTGGGCGTAACCATGGGCGCAGCCATTGAAGCGCTATGCTGTTTTTCACTTCCGGTTTGCGCTTGGCGCAGCTTACACAACTGCAGTTTAGACCGAAGATGGAGGATCATTCCAAGTTCTGCGGATTTTAAAATGGATATAGGAAAACGCAAACTGGGTTGTGGATCATACTGTGCGGTCCGTGGTTGTACGAATTCGTGGAAACGCTTGAATATATGGCTGGAAGGCTACAAGACGCCGATGTGGATGTGCTCCACCGTTTGCTTTGTTTTTGAAGCCAACAGCTGACAACGAGTCCAGGATGTGGCTAGCTGCTTTAAAGTTGAAGAAACCCCCTAAAAGAGTGTATGTTTGCTCATATCACTTTTTTAAAAAAGTTTACATTATCCAATACATTTTGTTCCACTTCACGATTGTGTCCCACTTGTTGATTCATGACAAAAAATAATTTTTTTAGATCTTTATGTTTGAAGCCTGAAATGTGGCGAAATGTTGAAAGGTTCAATGGGGGACGAATACTTTCGCAAGGTACTGTATGTTTGAAGTTTGACAAGTTAAATGTATTGATATTCGATATTTTCATGACATGGTCTTTGAAAGTTAAGTTTGAATCAAAGATTACTTCCAGACATTGCAATTGTTGGACCACCTCCAATGGCTCTCCATTGACCAGAACAGATGGCAGGAGTTTTGGAGCCATCGTGTTACTGGAATCATGGCCCCAGAGAGGACTGCAGCTGCTTCTACTTTTGTTTTTGCATGAGTATACAGAACTGTGTCATCTGCATATAATTGTATTTTTACTGTGTTACATACCGTTGGTAAATCATTTACGTATAGAGTGAACAAAAGTGGCCCCAACACTGAGCCTTGGTACTCCAGCAGCTTGTATTTGTACAGCTTGCTTTCTGGCAGCAAGATATGACTTAATCCAGCAGAGAGCGCTTTCAGAAAAGTTGAAGAATGTTAACTTGGCCAGGAGAGCATTATGGTCAATGGTGTCGAATGCACGTAGGAGATATTTGACGTTTTCTAGAAAATAACAAGTGGCTGTCTCTGTTGAACGGTATTTCCTAAAACCAAACTGCGTAGGATGGATGGGAGTCAGACCACTATTTAGATGTTCAGTTAGCTGAGTAGCAAACCATTTCTCAGCTATTTTTGATAAAATTGGGACAATGCTTATTAGTCTATAATTCTCAGGGGATTTGTGTCCTGCCTTAAACGCGGGTGTGACTCGAGCAGTTTTCCATGCAGTGGGCACTATACCCTGTTTAATAGATAAGTTAATCAAATACGTAAATGAGTAAGCAAGGGCATTTCTAAAAAAATACTTGAAATGCCCTTGGGTATCTCTAGCTTTGGAGTTTTAAAAATTTGATATTATTTTTAAAACCGCAGGGACTCTAATTTCCTCAATTATGAATAATGGTTTACTGGCATCCATAGGGTTACTTACTATTTTAATTGCATTTTTAGTTCCATGATGGAGCTGTTAAAAAAAATCATTAACCATCATTGTTGAAAATAGTATGTAAATTGTCAGTTAGGGTTCCATTTGTGTGTAGCTGTAAATCTCTGGGAATTTGATCTTTTTGACGTTTTAACAGGCAGTTTAGATGTTTCCATACCAATTTGCCATTTCCATGAGCTCTATTAATTAATTCAATGAAGAATTTTGCTCTAGCTAGACGCATCTCTTTAAAGTGGTTCTCACCCCCGCTCCTCGGAGCTTACGTTACTCACATTTCCTGTTCAAATCTTCCTCTAAATGGGCGTAGCCTGGAGGACTAAAGGGGGCGTGAACGAGACTGGGCCGTTTATATAGCTCTGGGCGGGGGGCTGCTCACGTCAGGTCCAACTTGCAGAAGTCAGGTCCAACTTCTGTGCCAGTGTTGGCGCCAGATTCAAAATTCAAATGTAGTAATACAGGTCGCCAGCAGATGGCGCCTCACAGACGGTTTTAGGCAGAAAGTCTAACTTTCAACTAATTTGCACCAAAGTGACAAGATTATGACCAGGATATGTAGACAACACTATTGGACACTCATTTATACCGTTTATCAGCAAAAAAAAGTGGATTTGAGGGTGAGTTGTCCTTTAACAACTTTATTTCTGAGAGATGTAAAGATATGTCGGTCGCTTGTCAATATTAATCCAAGGAACGTTATTTCTACATTGTTTGTAGAAATAACGTTCTCCTTTCTTTGTGAATTTGGCTAAGATTTCACATACCACCTTATTAAACGTATTTGAACTACTGTATCTTCAACATTATTACTTTCCACTACATTAGACCAATTTATGTGTTCCAATTCATTTTATAAAATTGGTTGCTAGCTTTTAGGTATGAATGTATAAGCTTTACCTTTCTCAGCTCTGACAGACCTCTCATTTTTAATTTTCCTTAAACATAGAATTAAATTGTGGTCAGAGAGACCAGATAAGAAATCGAAAGTTTTGGTCATTTTATCAGATTTATTAGTCAAGGTAAGATCAATTGTAGTTTTGGACATATTAGTTACCCTTGTTGGACCATTTATGATCTGTGTCAGAGTATGTTTATCAGTGAGTTGTTTCAGTTTTTTCCTATCCGATTTATTTTCCCAATTAATATTTAGATCACCCAGCAAAATTATTTCTCTTGAGGGATTGCACTGACTTAAAATTGCTTCAAGTTGAGGATAAAAGCAGTATTTTGCACATGGAGGTCGATACATACAGATCACAGTGAATGACATTGTAGGGGATAGTGTTATAATAAGACCTATGCATTCAATTTCTGTTTCTCTAGGCCTCTGTATTTGTTCACATTTTAAAAACAATGTTTTGATATAAACCAGTACCCCCCCACCTCTTCCTGCCCCTCTGTCTCTCCTAAATAGATTAAAGCCTGTAATATTTCCAGCGGCACTCGGTCTTTCAGACTTTCAGATATTCCAAGAATATCAATATTGGAATCACTTAAATGTTACATGCTCTGATTTGTTAACAATACAATTCTGATTTTGTTAACAATATTAATGTGACCCAGAAGAATTCCTTTTTGTATTTGTATTTGTATTTATGTATTTATTTCAAACATGTATACAGACAAAATGTTTAACTTCACATGAATTCGAGAAAATGTTTGAAAAGGAGTGGGTGAAAGTAAAAAACTTATTTTGGTTTTGATTGCGTATCCCAAATTACTTTTGACCTATTTAGAGTTTGGAAGAAGTACATTTTCTTTTGTTTTTTGATTGCAGGGTTCAGGGATGACTGCTTTTTCTTCTTTGTTTTTGTGGATAGATGAGGTGAAAGGTGACCGGTCAGCTGAAGTGGTTGAATGGTCAGCTGAAGTGGTTGACTGGTCAGCTGAGGTGGTTGACTGGTCAGCTGAGGTGGAAGGTGCCTGGTCAGCTGAGGTGCTTGACTGGTCAGCTGAAGTGGTTGACTGGTCAGCTGAAGTGGTTGACTGGTCAGCTGAGGTGGTTGACTGGTCAGCTGAGGTGGAAGGTGCCTGGTCAGCTGAGGTGCTTGACTGGTCAGCTGAAGTGGTTGACTGGTCAGCTGAAGTGGTTGACCGGTCAGCTGATGTGGAAGGTGCCTGGTCAGCTGAGGTGGAAGGTGCCTGGTCAGCTGAGGTGGAAGGTGCCCGCCCGGTCAGCTGAGGAGGAAAGTGCCTGGTCAACTGAGGTGGAAGGTACCCGGTCAGCTGAGGTGCTTGACTGGTCAGCTGAAGTGCTTGACTGGTCAGCTGAGGTGGTTGACTGGTCAGCTGAAGTGGTTGACTGGTCAGCTGAGGTGGTTGACTGGTCAGCTGAAGTGGTTGACTGGTCAGCTGAAGTGGTTGACCGGTCAGCTGATGTGGAAGGTGCCTGGTCAGCTGAGATGGAAGGTGACCAGTCAGCTGAAGTGGAAGGTGACCAGTCAGCTAAGGTGAAAGGTGCCTTGTCAGCTGAGGTGGAAGGTGCCCGGTCAGCTGAGGTGGAAGGTGCCCGGTCAGCTGAGGTAAAAGGTGATCGGTCAGCTGAGGTGGAAGGTGACCAGTCAGCTGAGGTAAAAGGTGATCGGTCAGCTGAGGTGGAAGGTGACCAGTCAGCTGAGGTGAATGGTGCCCGGTCAGCTGAGGTGGAAGGTGCCCGGTCAGCTGAGGTGGTAAACCGTACAGCTGAGATTGAAAGTTGTATGATAGCGGTGTTAGCCCATCCAGTTGTAGGTTAAGCAAAGTTAGTATAGACCTTTGCAGCAGCCCACACGACAGGGGGAAAAAACAGTCACCAATTTTCACACAGAAAATTTAAGACCGAGATAACCTTATTGAAAAGAATAATTTCAGATTCTATGACCAAAGAGATAGGAGAAATGTTTTGCATTTCCCTTCCATGTGAAATTAAGCAGGTTTCTTGAATCTTCAAACATAAAAGTTTATACTTTGCTTATGTATTGTTTTATTATATCATGTGACTTCAATGACCAGTGAGTAATATTAAGGCCCCAAAAGGGTAAAATCAAAGAATCAATTCACCAAATGGGAGATTTCATTAAGGACATTGAACATATGAGGCATATTCTGAATGTAGGTATAAACAGGACTCTGATCGGTTAACAATATTAAGATTAAGAGATCCTTTATTTGTCCCACAGTGGGGAAATTTCAATGTTGCATCATAAGTTATAGAACAGTAGGAAAGAGGAGCACAAGATAAGTGGACAATAGCTATAAAATAAAACAAAATCTCTAACTCTAGCATCAATAACAAGTATAAAAACTCAATCTTGAAAATAATAATAATAAAAAGAAGTGTAAAAGTTTTGTCCCTTAGATCAATCAGACTGACCACGTCCTCTCAGATTAAGCTGATCATGTCCCTCAGGACCACATGAGGCACATTGACCATGTTTCTCAGGACTTCCGTCAGTCTGATCTGAGGGGACATGGTCAGCCTCATAGATCTGAGAGGATATGGTCAGTCTGAATGTATTATTATTGTTTCTGTCCAGTAAGCCACAGAGAGTTTCTGGTTGCACCAGTTTCCAAAGCAAAACCTTCTCATAGCATATGTTAATATGCTCTGCTAAGGATCCTGCAAACTGCAGAATGACCACAAGTGAGATGTAAAGATTACATCCTCCTGTTTTTGTCCTAGTCATAACCTTATAAAATAAGGTTATACATAATAAATTATGAAAAACCTTATAACATAAGGTTGTACCTTATAATGTATGTATAACCTTATAAAATAAGGTTATATATAATAAATTAGTGAATTTATTATGTTGTGTTTTTAGTTTTTTTTAAGTAAGCCACAGAAAGTTTCTGGTTGCATCAGTCTCCCAAGCAAACTTATTAGCTTATGCTAATATGCTCTGCAAAAGGATCTTACAAACTGCAGAAAGATTACGAGTGAGATGTTATGATTACATCCTTCTGTTTTTGTTCTGTTTATAACCTCATAAAATAAGGTTAATCAATAATTATGTATAACCTAAAAAAATAAGGTTATACATAATAGATTAGTGAATTTATTGTTTTTTGTTTTGTTTTTGTTTTTTTCAGTAAGCCACAGAAAGTTTCTGGTTGCACCAGTTTCCCAAGCAAAACCTTCTCAGAGCTTATGCTAATATGCTCTGCGAAGGCTGCTTAAGGATCCTCCAAACTGCCACTTCCTCATTTTTACTGGTTGGAAACCCTGAAACTGAAGAAGGAGGAACATAAGTTCAGAACTGGCTGAACCAAAGAGAAACATAACGGAGCGTAAGGGGAGTGGTCCTCCTCGTTATTGTCCGGTGGTGATGGTGTCTGGTGCAAAGTGACATCAACCATCTGTGGCTGATTGGAAATTGGTTGGTTAATTTTAGTTTCTTTCCAATTACTGTAAAAGCTATTTTTTACTATTTGAATATATTCTCTATGTGTTAGCATGCTTTGTAGAGGAACTCTATGTTCATGGTGGGAGCTGAAAGGTTGTTCGCGTGACAAAGACACAGAGAACATCCCTGTTGATGTTGAGCCCTTACTTTTTGAAATGCCCTCTAACGTAGATTTACCTGAAAGTACAGGTTTCAAATCTATGCTCCCTTCTTTGCTCAATGACTCTTCTACTCTGAGTACATTTTCTGGACTAGTTGCCACCTTGCCTTCACCTTCTGTTGTTCCATTGTCAGTCAAATCCAATGATGCTAGCCTAATTCCATTTAGTCCCTGTTGCATTTCCCGACTATTGTCAAGCTGAAACATGCTTACAGCAGCGGGGTCAATGTCCGAGGGTTCTATTACATCTTCAACTGACAACCTAGAAGAGTTTTGGGGACTATTATTGTATGTGTAGTTTTGTGGCAATTCCAATCCCTCCACTGCACTGCACTGCCTGCTGCTGGACTGCTCATCGCATGTATACAAATCTGGTGTTGTAATTTTTGGTGGGGACCCTGATCTGTCATTCCCTTCTATCGCAATAGATCTGCTACCAAGGTGTACGTTGTATAATCCTATTTGGGGTCCAGCTGCATTTTCTGCTTGTTGCTGGACGTGGCCATCGTCGGAGTAGTGGGCATTAACATTTGCATCAGGTACAAATTGGCTCAAGGTTTGAAATTTGCTCTGTGATGCTAGGTCCCCTCTTACATTACTTGAGGGTGCAGGTTGTGATGCTAGGTTCCTTCCTTCCTTCCTTCCATCCTTCAACCAACTTACCTGTTTGCCTGTCTGCCCTGCCAAGATCTTCAACTTACCTGTCCAATCTCCACTCCAGCCCCTTGGTCCACCTCCGTCTCCCTCCTGGTCTCCTGGTCACCTGCATTATTTATTTTGATCCATTTTCTGTAAATAAACTTTTTTCTTGTTTTCTGCATTTGAGTCTTCCTCCTTAACCCGTGACAGAACAAACTGGCCACTATGGACTCAGCAGATTCAGACCCAGTGGAATCTCACCCGGACAGAGTCCTCAGAGCAATCACCACTCAAGGTGCAGTACTTGGACAGCATGAACACCTTCTTCAAGCGCTAATCCAGAGCCAACAAACCACCGCTAATCAGATGAGAGAACTCAATGCCATGCTACAGCAACTGTCAACCAATCTTTCTGAAGCTCCATCTCCAGCACAACCAGCTCCTCTTCCTGTTCAGCCAACCAGAGAAGTTCATGTGCCTGATCCCGATCACTACTCAGGTGACATGGGCAAATGTGGGGGGTTCTTGTTGCAATGCTCTCTTGTGTTTAGCCAGAAACCCCTGACCTATGCTACTAGCGCTTCCAAGGTCGCTTTTATCATGGGTTTTCTCCAAGGTAAAGCACTCGACTGGGCAGCTGCGAAGTGGCAGAATGATCCTTTTTTCCGTAACGATTTTGACATTTTTGAACAGGAATTACGTAAATTTTTCGACCACCCAGTAAAGGGTAAAGAGGCATCTAAGAGGCTCTTGACCCTAAGTCAAAGTGGGCGCAGTGTTGCTGAGTATTCTGTGGAATTTAGAACGTTGGCGGCAGAGGCAGGCTGGGATGATTCAGCACTTCAATCTGTGTTCATCAATGGACTCTCAGAACAGCTTAAGGATGAACTAGCTCTAAAGGATGACTCTGTAGATCTCGACTCCCTCGTTTCAGCCGCCATCAGAATGGACAATCGCCTACGTGAGCGACGAAGGGAACGCTCAAACAGAAATGTCCCCTCTAATACTACTTCCCGCAATGCAATTTTTCGTAACCCTGTGATTCCTGTGCCTTCTGCATCTCCAGGTCACTCAACTTCAGCACATTCTGATGTGGAACCTATGCAGTTGGGACGTGCCGGTTTAACTCCAGCAGAGCGACAAACACGCATTCAGGCCGGAGTATGCATGTATTGTGGTCAGTCTGGACATTTCCTTGTAATCCCACTTTTGACTGGGCGAATGGGAAAATTGTGAGTTGGAGTTTATTTTGTCACTCAACTTGTTTACAATCTGCACTTCCTCCAGCTGGTTCAGTTTCCTCTTCGCCTGAGCCTCCAGATCTCTCCAAAGTACCTGCGGAATACCGAGACCTGGCGAAAAAAGTTCAGCAAGGAACGGGCCCTGTCTCTCCCACCACACAGACCCTACGACTGTGCTATCGACCTTCTTCCTGGTGCCACATTGCCTTCAAGCCGTCTCTATAATCTGTCCCTGCCAGAGAGGGAGGCAATGGAGAGGTACATCACTGATTCTCTTGCTGCAGGGATCATACGTCCGTCTTCCTCTCCTGTCGGTGCTGGGTTATTTTTTGTCGACAAGAAAGATAAAACGCTCCGTCCGTGTATTGACTATCGTGGATTGAATAACATTACAGTTAAGAATAAATATCTGCTACCTCTAATAAACTCAGCTTTTCAACCTCTACATGGTGCTACAGTGTTTTCCAAACTCGACCTGAGAAATGCCTACCACTTGGTCCGTATTAGAGCGGGAGATGAATGGAAGACTGCTTTTAACACCCCGTTGGGACATTTTGAGTATCTCGTCATGCCTTTTGGTTTGACAAATGCCCCTGCAATTTTTCAGGCTCTAGTCAACGATGTGCTCAGAGACTTTTTGAATCTGTTTGTGTTTGTTTATTTGGATGATATCCTGATATTCTCTCGTTCTCCAGAGGAACGACTCAGCAGATTCAGTCCCTGGAGGACCTGTTCATGTCCGCCAGGTCCTCCAGAGACTCTTGGAGAACAAGTTGTTCGTCAAAGCGGAGAAATGTGAGTTTCACGTCAATCTGTCAGCTTCCTCGGCAACATCATTGACAAAGGACAGGTAAAACCAGATCCATCCAAGATTCGTGCAGTTGAAGAGTGGCCCCGCCCAGACAACAGGAAACAGTTACAAAGATTCCTGGCGTTTGCTAATTTCTATTGCCGCTTTATACGCAATTACAGTCATGTAGCTTCACCTCTAACTCGCCTAACGTCCTCAAAGATCCCCTTTGTTTGGTCTCCTGAGGCTGAGCAGGCATTTAAAATACTTAAAGAACTTTTTACTTCAGCACCAGTCCTGCTCCATCCTGTTCCCTCTTTGCAGTTTGTAGTCGAAGTGGATGCCTCAGACATCGGCGTTGGGGCAGTTTTGTCTCAACGTTCCCAAACTGATCAAAAGTTACATCCCTGTGCCTTTTTCTCTAAACGTCTTTCTCCTGCCGAACGCAACTACTCCAT